CCCCATTCGTTTTGCCAAATTGTTTCGTCTTTTAGTTCAGAGAAAGTTTCCTGAAGAAAGTAAATGCTTGCCTTTTCATCTTTTAAATATGAAAAGATGCTCCTTCTCTTTGCTTGATCGCGTATTCCCCTTACGTTGAGTGAGATGACTGCACATTAAGTTACTTTGCATTGGAATGTAATTGTGTAGTTTGGAAAAACAGACACAAAAAATAAAAATAACAACAAACGCTAGTTCCACTAAATAAACTAAAGAAAAATTAAAGAGATTAAGCTTCTTGCTATGCTTTCTTAGACCACCTTGAGACTTCCCTCATCTACTACATATTTCCAGTACTGGTGGCAACCTACCAGCAATCTATATTGACCTAAAGATTATTTAAATCATCCTCTGTATTAATTCGGATCAGCCTACCCTCAGGTGAAGTCTTGACAAAGATTTTTCTGTCTACAGTCCACACTCCTTTAAGTAATCTATCTTCCTTCCTTCCGTTGGCAATCTGCACCAGGTTTCGCCGGTGTGTTGTCAAATTCTAGTTAATAAATATGCGGTTTGATGAGGCCCTTGCTGCTGCAGATGCGCTCAGGAAGAGTTGTGAGAAACTGACATTCCTTAGTTGAACTTGTTGCTTCTAGAGTGCCCTCTTAACTTTGTGGCTAATAAATCTTGCTATGATAGGCTTTGTCTTTTTTCTTTTGATCCTATGACAAATGTCGATATCTTCTTGCTTAACGTTAATGTTCAGGGCTTCTGCAACTTTCAAAACTGCATCTTCGTCATTGCAAACATTTTCAGGAATGCTCTCAATCTCAAGGGAATTTTTTCTTGTATACTGTTCGAGCGTGTCCATATTTTTGTAAAGCTCATCGATTTCTTCTTCCTGCTCTTTCACCTGTTGTTTAGTTGTTTTCAATTCCAATTTGAGTTCGTCATTGCCCTTGAGTGCTGCATTTAGTGATTCTTTGCCAGTTCTTAGCTCAGATTCCTGTTGCTTGAACCAGGTTTCTAGCTCCACAACTTCATTAGAAAGTTTGTCCTTTGATTTTAGAAGATCTTTCAGTATTGCACAGATATCTGGGAGGTCAGGTTGGTCGTCTTCCCGCTCCACTGCATCTGCAGGCTGAAAGTCTGCGGACGCCATGTTGACAAGTTTAGGATCTGCAATTTCGTCGTCAGTGTAACCTCTTTCCCCTCGCTTGTTTTCACCACCTGTCCTGTTAGGGGGCATATCTTTTACACCACTTTCATGCTGTTGCTGGGCTTTTTCGACTGATTCTGAAGAGTTTTGAGGGAAGACACCTTCCTTCAAAAGAAAACGTGGCCGCTGTCTGCCACCACGCGCATGCCAAGCTTGACAGTGAAATAAATTCTTGTTTTTTCTTAAACAAGCACCGTAAGGTACCTCTTTTATTGCATTAAATTAGTCTATAATTCATTGCCTTTCCACAGAATGAGTAAGAAAAAATTTTTAAATCAGGTAAGAAAATTCATGCCAAAAATGTTTACTTACCCTTTCACTTGTAACCCGAACCTTGCCACCGCTAGAAGACGCACCTTAAAGGATGTCTTTTCTAAAGAAATTGAAACAAAATCACTAAACCTGACAGTTGTCACGGACAAGATTCAAGGCCATCCTACACTCTGTCATCTGGAGCCGAGAAAGGTGTATGATAAGGTTCACAGTGAGTGGCACTCTGGCAACAACACCAGCTAACAACATTCAGATATGGATGACGGCCAACCCTAAGCTAAATTGCCCAAAGAAAGTGACACTATCTGACAAAATGTCCCACTACTTTTCAAATGAAGAGAGCAGTGTATCAATGGTGCCTCCATCAAACTCAAGCTATTTGACTAGGAATATCTTTACTCATGATCACAGGAAATACCTTCTTAAAGTATGCAGCAGCATGGTGAAATCAGGCATCATTTCACAAACTGTGGTCAAGGACTTGCTTAGCAAAGGTGAGGAGGGCAAAGATTTACGCGAGTTCACCATAAAGCAATCAATTAATCGTCTGAAATACGAGAGAAGGTTAAATCATTGTAAATGAACCAATAGTGCAACTTGCCAAACAACATACATTTGTATGTCTTTACTTGATCTTCAATCAGACGATTATCACACGAAACCACTAATACCTGGAAGAAAACTCGTACACTGTTTATATGTTTTCGATTTGTTTGGTTTCGCTTCAGGTGGGACGACTATTTGCCACCACTCAGAAAGTATATAGAAGCAAAATCACACCAAATGGAAATGACCACAGGGAAAAAAATTAAAAGGTTGATAGAACTTAAAAATAAATCAGAAGCAAAAAAGTGCACATCAAAGTACTTAATGTGCTTGGTTTTTACACAAGTACACAGGTGTACCTTCAAATCATTATTGCCATAACCGATTACAAAACAGATAGCACAGAATCTTGCTTACAGATCTAGAAATTTAATGTGGACCTTTGTCACCAAAGTTTTACAAAGTGCTCTTTAGCTTTCCAGGTCATTTGCCAGCTAAATTTTGTAACTTCGGGTTGCAATCATTAAGCTAAGCATATGAAAAGCTGATATGCAGCAAAATGAATGATACTCCATCAGGACCAAAGTTTAGGAAGCATAAAGCCTGTAAATACAAGCTAGCTTTGGCTTAAGGATCCTAGTTCAAGTTGGATATCTAGGAAGAGAGAACGTTTACTTACCCATATTCTTCTTCACACATTTTATTTCAAAATTTTTACCTTGATTTTGCACAAGGGAGGTCCAGTTACGTTAAAGTTAAGGTTGACATAAGCATAGTTTAGTTAGTATTTCTCAATAAACAACAAACTACATTTCGTTTAGATTAGTTTTATATCAAAAACAAATTACGTTAAAGTTAAGGTTGTCATAAGCTGGTAGTTTACAGTGTAGCTTGTATTTCTAAATAAACAACAAACTTCATTTAGCAGGGGCGTAGCGTCCATATATGCACGTATGCCCGTGCGTACAGCTGATATCTGAGAAATTTTTTTTTTGGAATTGCTTAAAAACGTTTTTTCTCATTAAAGCTGCTGGCTGATAATTTCATATTTCATTTTGTCAAATTATACTGGCATTTTTTATTAGATTTCCCTTTATCCAAGCATTAATCATTCAGTGCTGATGACAAGATGCATTCGAGTGGACTGGTAAGTAAAAATAGAAAAAAAAACGCCTCATGTACCCCTCCCTCAAGGTCATCCAGCCTCACCAGTTTCCCCAGCCCCACAGGTATTCTTGAAGGAGAGGTTACTATGCCATGACGTGTGGCTTCAGAACAAAACGTATTTGCTGCCAATGGAGATTAGGAATAATATATACCTCTAGCGAGGTCAAACAGTGAAGCCCTAGTGAGTGATTGTCCGAAGAAACTGTTAGAGAATACAATGAATATCTCTGCGACTTGAGGAGCGTGATTACTAGCTTCTGTGTTGTTTTTGTGTGTTTTGTGACAGAGTACACACATATGGCTCGAAAATCGATACACGATTACTTAAACGTAATTAACAAGACAACTGAGCAACGTGCAGAAGAAGCTCAAGGTACGTAGGCTTAAATTATCTATTTCAGTTCAATAAAATAACTGTTCAAGATAATTTTCTGTTCAATATTTTCGAGAATATTTTGATAGGGACGACATCTGTTTTTAATTATGTTTCACTAATTGTGGACGCATTGAGTGACAAGTTACCGGGATTTGAATTTTCAACATTTTTTTTTGTTAGCGGTAGAGGGTAGAGCGGGGTTGCAAATTTGAAAGCTGTGGACAATACGAAATAGATCCAAAAAGAACGAGTACACAGTCAGTAGCTCAACTCGTGATCGATTACTTCTTTTGTTTACGTTCGTTAGAAGCAGACCCTCCGAGCAACATTTTTACCCAAACAACTACTGCAAGACAAAGCGACTCTTCTGAAGCCAGTGCCACAGGCAGGTTGGTGACAAGCGGCCCAGAATATCCCGATGTTTACGTTTAAGGGAAAGCAGCATCCACGTTGTCTGATAGTGAAAAGATGTCCTTATCGGAGGGCAAATGGGAAAGTAGTGATCTTCACAAGTACGCATTCCCGTCAAGGTATTCACTTCCTGTTGCACTATAGATAATAATTGATATCGTTTCCAACACCATCCATGGATGAGCTTGTGATAATAAAAATCTTTATTTAACAATACATGAAAATGTTAAAATGTTTTGGCAAGACTACTCTCAGACTCACTCCCTTACAGTTTTTTTTGTGTCGTTTTTTTAATTATTGGTGAAGAACTCGTTGTCTTGTATCTTTCAGGAGAATAAGCGTCAAAACCGAAAATTCAGCCCAACCTGGATAACTCAGACCCCATGGCTTCGATATAGCCCTTCAACAGATACAGTGTATTGCTGCTATTGTGCTTTATTTGGCACTCAGTCTAACTGCTTTCGCTCCAACGACTGGTCAAACATAAGCAAAGTTATTAACAGGCACAATGCAAATACTGATCACCACTCAGCTGTTGCCAGAGGGCAGGCCTATTTAACACTGCAACGTGATGGAAGGCCAAACATTTCGCAGCAACTGCACCAGCAACGGGTTGAGGAAATTGAGCGAAATAGATTTGCATTAAAGTCTATCGCCGAAGTTCTGATAATGATGGGTAAGCAGAACATTCCCATCAGAGGTCATGTTCCTGAGGAGAGCAACTTCCATGCCATCCTTTCTCTTAATGCGAAGCAAAACTCCATCCTCCGAAATCATATCGAGCAGGCAAGGCCAACAGCAAAATACACAAGCCCCGAAATTTAGAATGACATTTTGGACATAGCAGCTTCACAGATCTTGAATGCAATAGTTGCTGACTGTAGAAAAGCACAATGCTACGCATTTATCGCTGACGAGTCCACAGATGTTGGAGTAAAAGAACAAATTTCATTGTGTGCTCGCTTTGTTGACAAAAAGGAAGATGGCAAGCGCTATGTCCGGGAAGATTTCCTCACTTTTGTCTATGAGGAAAATGGCACAACTGCAGATGCTTTAACAACTCAGTTCTTGGATGCCTTAAACAAAATTGGTGTGCCCGTTGACAAAATGAGAGCACAGGGTTACGATGGCGCCAGTGTCATGAGCGGGCACATTAATGGGGTTCAAGCAAGGGTCCGCAGAGTCAACCCAAAGGCCATTTACATCCACTGTCGTGCCCATGTGTTAAATGTTTGCATTGTTCATGCCTCTAAGCTTCCAATTGTTCGAAACATAATGGATACAATGCAGGCGGTTTCTCTGGCGTTCAAGTTCTCTGCCAAGCGCCTTCTCGTGTTCGAAGAACAGTTAGGGAACAATGCTGCTGTACAGGAAGAGATGGGCAGAAGATCGAAGCTAAAGGTACTCTGTGAAACACGCTGGGCATCTCGTGCCGACTGTTTGGATGTATTTGTCACCTCATTTCAGGTAGATCCTTGAATTTGTACTGACTTAACTTACAATGTACAGGTCCTGTACTGAAAAATAGAACCATAGTACAAGACATTAGGTAGTAAGCTCTGACTATCGTTTAATAAACATCATTGGCTATGTAATGCAATTAATCTCATCTAATATCTTTCAGGTTATCGTTGATACCCTTCAGCAATTGAGCGAAGGCGGCGACAGCAAGGCCAGGGGATTATGCGCATCTATTCTTAAATGGGATTTTACAATAACATCAGTTGTTCTTCAGCACATATTTAAATATACTCACCGATTATCACTGCATCTTCAGGTCAGTGTAACGTCGCAATACTTTTTGTACAACATTGGCACTGGCTTCTCCAAAGTATTAATTGTGCTGCTTGAAAAGTGCTTTGGGCCACCTGAAGCTCTGAGCAGTTTCTTAGCACATGACCAGCTGTGATCCAACCCGTCTGCTCTCGTATATTGGTCATCCCTGTCCATGACCCCAACAACTTGTCCGTACAGCTTCCTTATTGTTAATGAGTCAGGGTTAATGATTTGAGTTAGGTCACCAATTAGAATTTCCACTGTTTTGCCTGCCTTTTAAACATTCCAGGTTTTCTTTACTAGAGCCCTGAATTCGAATTACTCCAGGCATCAGAGGAGGCCAGAGTCTGTGTATCAGTCTTATGAGCAGAGAGAAGCGATGACAGCATTTGGGATGCCTTGGTGGAAAAGGCGACATCCATTGCAGAAGTCTACGAAATCCAACCATGTGTTCCCAGGACGATGGGAAGGCAGGAACATCGCAACGTCGAAGCTGACACACCATCTGCATATTGGAAGAGGAGTCTGTATCTTCCCTTCTTAGATCACCTTGTCAACGAGCTTGATGAGCAGTTGGTGAAACCCCTTCCTGGCTTCCAAGTGCAGCTTCTTATTCCTGGTAAGGAAATCTAGTTATCTATTTATTACCCTATACAAACACATGACAATAAAGCAAAAAACGTTGACAATTTGAATACTAAATTAGTGGCCAGAAGGCAAAAACGAAACCACGGAACGGATCGCTACAAATAGTTATCCTACTAACCTTAAAAAGATCACCTACTGCTTGTATAGTGTTAGCATAGAGTAATTTATTCTTATTCAATTCTAAATCTAATTACAGGGAAGCTCATCGCTCTAACAGAAAGAGCCATTGCTGATATATTCAGCTATTACGGCAGTGACATGGGAATCTCTGAGGATGAGTTTAAAACCGAAGTCACAAGATGGAAGCACAAATGGAGTGGCATGGATCCGAATGTGACGCCGCAGACTTTGGTTGAGACTCGACCACGCAAACTCCCAATTTTATCCCGGTGTTGCTCTCGTAACATTGTTAACATACCCTGTGTCAACATGCACTGCCGAACGCAGCTTCAGTAGTATGAAGAGACTAAAATCTCCTCTGCGAGGTACGATGATGGACGAACGATTGAGCTCCCTAGCAATACTTCATATACATAAACACAAGAACGTGGATATTGACAGTTTGGTAACGGAGTTTGCCTGTCTTAAGGGTCGATGCCTCGCCCTTTGCTTATGACCTGTCTCCGTTTATGTATTTTTTTTCTTTTCGTAACACTGTAGCTTACAGAAAACACTAGAGAAATGGTTAAAATAAACAACTTTCTACTGCATTTTTGCTACATTATTTATTGAAAATGCCCCGCAGAAAAACCAGGAAATGGCATTTCCGAGACCCTAAATTTCAAAATTTTCTGGGGGAGCATGCCCCCAGACCCCCCTAGTTGTAAGCGCCTTTGGCGCTTAGAAAAAAATTTATACTCATGCATACATCATCAAAATCCCACGCTACACCCCTGTTTAGATCATATTAATTCCCTCAGTTTTATATGAAAAACAAATATGTTAAAGTTAAGGTTAGTATAAGCAGGTAGTTAAATTTATTTCTGCAGTTTCATATGGTAAACAAATTACATTTAAGTTAAGGTTGACAGTGACTCTGTAGTTTGCTTTTCCAAATAAACATCAAAAAACACAATAGTACGATTTAAGAGTGCATCCACGAGAGGACCAGGCAGGGGCGGCACAAGCTATCTCGCCGATTTCGATGAAACTTGGTCAGTTTGAAGGGGTTCACTCGAAAGTACTTCAGTCTAAGTTTAAGAAAATTTGGTCAAAACCGGGGGGGTAGTTGACCACCCCCCTTGTTTTTTCAACAAAAATGACCAAAAATAACCCCCAAAATGGT